CGTCTTGTTCACAACCATACATTCTGTCTTCTTACAATTGATGTTTAGTCCTTTTTATCTTCCTTTCCTTTACATGGCCTCTTCCTCTTGCTGACAACCATACATTTTGTCTTCTTACAATTGATGTTTAGTCCTTTCTTCCCGCTTTCCTTTACTTGGCCTCTTCCTCTTGCTGAACAACCATACATTCTGTCTTCTTACAATTGATGCTTAGTCCTTTCTACTTGCATTCCTTTACTTGGCCACTTCTTCTTGCTGACAACCATACATTCTGTCTTCTTACAATTCATTTTTAGTCCTTTTTATCTCACTTTCCTTTACTTGGCCTCTTTCTCTTGCTGACCACCATACATTCTGTCTTCTTACAATTCATTTTTAGTCCTTTTTATCTCACTTTCCTTTACTTGGCCTCTTTCTCTTGCTGACCACCATACATTCTGTCTTCTTACAATTCATGTTTAGACCTTTCTTCTTGCTTTCCTTTACTTGGCCTCTTCCTCTTGTTGACAACCATACATTCCGTCTTCTTACAATTGATTTTTAGTACTTTTTATCTCACTTTCCTTTACTTGGCTTCTTTCTCTTGCTGAAAACCATACCTTCTACCTTCTTACAATTGATGTTTAGTCTTTTCTTATCGCTTTCCTTTACTTGGCCTCTTCCTCTTGCTGACAACCATACATTCTGTCTTATTACAATTCATTTTTAGTCCTTTTTATCTCATTTTCCTTTACTTGGCCTCTTCCTCCTGCTGACAACCATACATTCTGTCTCGTTACAATTGATGTTTAGTCCTTTTTATCTCACATTCCTTTACTTGTCCTCTTCCTCTTGCTGAACAACCATACATTCAGTCTTCTTACAATTGATGTTTAGTCCTTTTTATCTCCCTTTCCTTTACTTGGCCTCTTCCTCTTGCTGAACAACCATACATTCTGCCTTCTTACAATTGATGTTTAGTCCTTTCTTCTCGCTTTTCTTTACTTGGCCTCTTCCTCTTGCTGAACAACCATACATTCTGTCTTCTTACAATTGATGTTTAGTCCTTTTTATCTCGCTTTCCTTTACTTGGCCTCTTCCTCTTGCTGAACAACCATACATTCTGTCTTCTTACAATTGATTTTTAGTCCTTTTTATCTCACTTTCCTTTACTTGGCCTCTTCCTCCTGCTGACAACCATACATTCTGTCTTCTTACAATTGATGTTTAGTCCTTTTTATCTCACTTTCCTTTACTTGGCCTCTTCCTCTTGCTGAACAACCATACATTCTGTCTTCTTACAATTGATGTTTAGTCCTTTCTTCTCGCTTTCCTTTACTTGGCCTCTTCCTCTTGCTGACAACCATACATTCTGTCTTCTTACAATTAATGTTTAGTCATTTCTTCTCGCTTTCCTTTACTTGGCCTCTTCTTCTTGCTGAAAACCATACATTCTGTCTTCTTACAATTGATGTTTAGACCTTTCTTCCAGTGTTCCTTTACTTGGCCTCTTCCTCTTGTTCACAACGATATTTCTGTCTTCTTACAGTTGATGGTTAGTCCTTTCTACTTGCTTTCTTTACTTGGCCTCTTCCTCTTGCTGACAACCATACATTCTGTCTTCTTACAATTGATGTTTAGTCCTTTTTATCTCACTTTCCTTTACTTGGCCTCTTTCTCTTGCTGACAACCATACATTCTATCTTCTTACAATTGATGTTTAGTCTTTTCTTATCGCTTTCTTTACTTGGCCTCTTCCTCTTGCTGACAACCATACATTCTGTCTTCTTACAATTGATGTTTAGTCCTTTTTATCTCACTTTCCTTTACTTGGCCTCTTCCTCTTGCTGAACAACCATACATTCTGTCTTCTTACAATTGATGTTTAGTCCTTTCTTCTCGCTTTCCTTTACTTGGCCTCTTCCTCTTGCTGACAACCATACATTCTGTCTTCTTACAATTAATGTTTAGTCATTTCTTCTCTCTTTTCTTTACTTCTCTCTCTTCTTCTTGCTGAAACCATACATTCTGTCTTCTTTACAATTGATGTTTAGACCTTTCTTCCAGTGTTCCTTTACTTGGCCTCTCTCTCTCTTCTCTCTTGTTCACAACGATATTTCTGTCTTCTTACAGTTGATAGTTAGTCCTTTCTACTTCTTTTTTTACTTGGCCTCTCTTCCTCTTGCTGACAACCATACATTCTGTCTTCTTACAATTGATGTTTAGTCCTTTTTTATCTCTTTTCTTTATTTGGCCTCTTTCTCTTGCTGACAACCATACATTCTATCTTCTTACAATTGATGTTTAGTCTTTTCTTATCTCTTCCTTTACTTGGCTCTCTTCTCTCTCTCTTGCTGACAACCATACATTCTGTTTTCTTACAATTGATGTTTAGTCCTTTTTTATCTCTTTTTCCTTTACTTGGCCTCTTCCTCTTGCTGAACAACCATACATTCTGTCTTCTTACAATTGATGTTTAGTCCTTTCTTCTCGCTTTCCTTTACTTGGCCTCTTCTCTCTCTCTCTTGCTGACAACCATACATTCTGTCTTCTTACAATTAATGTTTAGTCATTTCTTCTCTCTTTTCCTTTACTTGGTCTCTCTCTCTCTCTTCTTCTTGCTGAAAACCATACATTCTGTCTTCTTACAATTGATGTTTAGACCTTTCTTCCAGTGTTTTCTTTACTTGGCCTCTCTCTCTCTCTCTTCACAACGATATTTCTGTCTTCTTACAGTTGATGGTTAGTCCTTTCTTCTTGCTTTTTTTTTTTTTCTCTCTCTCTCTTCCTCTTGCTGACAACCATACATTCTGTCTTCTTACAATTGATGTTTAGTCCTTTTTTATCTCTTTTTCCTTTCTCTTTCTCTCTCTTTCTCTTGCTGACAACCATACATTCTATCTTCTTACAATTGATGTTTAGTCTTTTCTTATCTTTCTTTTATTTGGCCTCTTCCTCTTGCTGACAACCATACATTCTGTCTTCTTTACAATTGATGTTTAGTCTTTTTTTATCTCATTTTTCTTTTCTTGGCCTCTTCCTCTTGCTGAACAACCATATATTCTGTCTTCTTACAATTGATGTTTAGTCCTTTCTTCTCTCTTTCCTTTACTCTCTCTCTCTCTTCCTCTTGCTGACAACCATACATTCTGTCTTCTTACAATTAATGTTTAGTCATTTCTTCTCGCTTTCCTTTACTTGGCCTCTTCTTCTTGCTGAAAACCATACATTCTGTCTTCTTACAATTGATGTTTAGACCTTTCTTCCAGTGTTCCTTTACTTGGCCTCTTCCTCTTGTTCACAACGATATTTCTGTCTTCTTACAGTTGATGGTTAGTCCTTTCTTCTTCTTTCCTTTACTTGGCCTCTTCCTCTTGCTGACAACCATACATTCTGTCTTCTTACAATTGATGTTTAGTCCTTTTTATCTCCCTTTCCTTTACTTGGCCTCTTCATCTTGCTGACACCCATACATTCTGTCTCCTTACAATTGATGTTTAGTCCTTTTTATCTCTTTCTTTTCTTTTCTCTCTCTCTCTTCCTCTTGCTGACAACCATACATTCTGTCTTCTTACAATTGATTTTGAGTCCTTTTTTCTCTCTTTTCTTTACTTGGCTCTTTTCTCTCTTGTTGACAACCACACATTCTGTCTTCTTACAATTGATGTTTAGTTTTTTCTTCTCCCTTTCCTTTACTTGGCTCTCTTCCTCTTGTTGACAACCATACATTCTGTCTTCTTACAATTGATGTCCTTTTTCTCTCTTTTTATTTTCTCTTTCCTCTCTCTTCTCTCTCTTCCTCTTGCTGAACAACCATACATTCTGTCTTCTTACAATTGATTTTAGTCCTTTTTATCTCTTTCTTTCCTTTGGTCTCTCTCTCCTCCTCTCTGAACAACCATACATTCTTCTGTCTTCTTACAATTGATGTTTAGTCCTTTTTTATCTCTTTTCCTTTATTTGGCCTCTTCTCTCTTGCTGAACAACCATACATTCTGTCTTCTTACAATTGATTATTAGTCCTTTTTTCTCTCACTTTGGTCTTTCTCTCTCTCCTCTTCATTCTCCTGCTGAACAACCATACATTCTGTCTTCTTACAATTGATGTTTAGTCCTTTTTTATCTCGCTTTCCTTTCTCTTCTCTCTCTTCTCTCTTCTTGAACAACCATACATTCTGTCTTCTTACAATTGATTTTAGTCCTTTCTTCTCTCTTTTCTTTATTTGGCCTCTTCCTCCTGCTGACAACTCTTACATTCTTCTGTCTTCTTACAATTGATGTTTAGTCCTTTTCTTCTCTCTTTTCTTTATTTGGCCTCTCTCTCTCTCTCTTGAACAGTCATACATTCTGTCTTCTTACAATTGATGTTTAGTCCTTTCTTCTCTCTTTTCTTTTTTACTTCTCTCTCTCTCTTCTCTCTTGCTGACAACCATACATTCTGTCTTCTTACAATTAATGTTTAGTCATTTCTTCTCTCTTTTCTTTTTACTTCTCTCTCTCTCTCTCTCTCTTGCTGAAAGTCATACATTCTGTCTTCTTACAATTGATGTTTAGACCTTTCTTCAGTCTTTCCTTTATTTCTCTCTCTCTCTCTCTCTTCCTCTCTTGTTCACAACGATATTTCTGTCTTCTTACAGTTGATGGTTAGTCTTTCTTCTCTCTTTTCTTGCTTTTTTCTCTCTCTCTCTCTCTCTCTCTCTTGCTGACAACCATACATTCTGTCTTCTTACAATTGATGTTTAGTCCTTTTTCTTCTCTTTTTTTTCTCTTCTCTCTCTTTCTCTTGCTGGCAACCATACATTCTATCTTTTACAATTGATGTTTAGTCCTTTTTCTTTCTCTCTTTCTCTCTCTCTGGCCTCTTCTGTCTCTTACAATTAATGAGTCCTTTCTTCTCCATACATTCTGTCTTCTTACAATTGATTTTGCCTTCCTTTTTTATCTTTCTTCTCTCTTTTCCTTTCTTTGGCCTCTCTCTCTCTCTCTTGCTGACAGTCATACATTCTGTCTTCTTACAATTGATGTTTAGTCTTTTTCTTCTCTCTTTTCTTTTTGGTCTCTCTCTCTCTCTCTCTCTCTCTCTTGCTGACAGTCCTTACATTCTGTCTTCTTACAATTGATGTTTAGTCCTTTCTTTTCTCTTTCCTTTTTATTTGGTCTCTCTCTCTCTCTCTCTCTTCTCTCTTGCTGACAGTCCCATACATTCTGTCTTCTTACAATTGATGTTTAGTCCTTTCTTCTCTCTTTTCTTTTTACTTCTCTCTCTCTCTCTCTCTCTCTCTCTTGCTGACAACCATACATTCTGTCTTCTTACAATTGATGTTTAGTCCTTTCTTTCTCTCTTTTCTTTATTTGGTCTCTCTCTCTCTCTCTCTCATCTTGCTGACAGTCATACATTCTGTCTTCTTACAATTAATGTTTAGTCCTTTCTTCTCTCTTTCTTTTCCTTTGGTCTCTCTCTCTCTCTCTTGCTGAACTCTCATTCTGTCTTCTTACAATTGATTTTTAGTCCTTTTCTTCTCTCTTTTTCTTTATTTGGTCTCTCTCTCTCTCTCTTTCTTCAACATTCCTTACATTCTGTCTTCTTACAATTGATGTTTAGTCCTTTCTTCTCTCTTTTCTTTATTTTCTCTCTCTCTCTCTCTCTCTCTTGCTGAACAGTCCTTCATTCTGTCTTCTTACAACCATACATTCTTTCTTCTCTACAATTGATGTTTAGTCCTTTTCTCTCTTTTCTTTATTTGGTCTCTCTCTCTCTCTCTCTCTCTCTCTCTTGCTGACAGTCATACATTCTGTCTTCTTACAATTAATGATTAGTCCTTTCTTCTCTCTTTTCTTTATTTGGTCTCTCTCTCTCTCTCTCTCTCTTGCTGACAGTCATACATTCTGTCTTCTTACAATTAATGATTAGTCCTTTCTTCTCTCTTTTCTTTATTTGGTCTCTCTCTCTCTCTCTCTTGCTGACAGTCATACATTCTGTCTTCTTACAATTGATGATTAGTCCTTTCTTCTCTCTTTTTTCTTTGGTCTCTCTCTCTCTCTCTCTCTCTTGCTGACAGTCATACATTCTGTCTTCTTACAATTGATGATTAGTCCTTTCTTCTCTCTTTTCTTTATTTGGTCTCTCTCTCTCTCTCTCTTGCTGACAGTCATACATTCTGTCTTCTTACAATTGATGATTAGTCCTTTCTTCTCTCTTTTCTTTATTTGGTCTCTCTCTCTCTCTCTCTCTCTGAAGACCATACATTCTGTCGTCTTACATTCGATGTTTAGTCCTTTTTTCTCTCTTTTCTTTATTTTCTTCTTCTCTCTCTCTCTCTCTCTCTTGCTGACAACCATACATTCTGTCTTCTTACAATTGATTTTTAGTCCCTTTCTTCTCTCTTTTTTTTATTTGGTCTCTCTCTCTCTCTCTCTGCTGACAACCATACATTCTGTCTTCTTACAATTGATGTTTAGTCCTTTTTTTCTCTTTTCTTTTTTTTCTCTTTCTCTTGGCCTCTCTCTCTCTTGCTGACAGTCCATACATTCTGTCTTCTTACAATTGATGTTTAGTCTTTTCTTCTCTCTTTTTCCTTTGGTCTCTTCTCTCTCTCTCTCTCTTGCTGACAACCATACATTCTGTCTTCTTACAATTGATGTTTAGTCCTTTTTCTCTCTTTTCCTTTGGTCTCTCTCTCTCTCTCTCTCTCTCTACATTCTGTCTTCTGACTTAGTCCTTTCTTGTCTTCTTACAATTGATCTTTTAGTCCTTTTTCTCTCTCATTTTCCTTTAGTCCTTTCTTCTCTCTTTCTCTCTCTCTCTCTCTCAACCAGTACATTCTGTCTTCTTACAATTGATGATTAGTCCTTTTTTCTCTTTTTTCTTCCTTTTCTCTCTCTCTCTCTCTCTCTCTCTTGCTGACAGTCCATACATTCTGTCTTCTTACAATTGATTTTTAGTCCTTTCTTCTCTCTTTTTTTTATTTTCTCTCTCTTCTCTCTCTTGACTCTCATACATTCTGTCTTCTTACAATTGATTTTTAGTCCTTTCATCTCTTTCTTTTCTTTCCTCTTCTCTCTCTCATGCTTCTCTCTCCATACATTCTGTCTTCTTACAATTGATCCTTTCTTCCTCTTTTATCTCTCTTTCCTTTCTCTTCTCTCTCTCTCTCTCTTGCTGACAACCATACATTCTGTCTTCTTACAATTGATGATTAGTCCTTTCTTCTCTCTTTTTTCTTTGGTCTTTCCTCTCTCTCTCTCTCTTCTCTCTTGCTGACAACCATACATTCTGTCTTCTTACAATTGATGTTTAGTCCTTTTTCTCTTTTTCTTTATTTGGCCTTTTCTTCTCTCTCTCTCTCTCTCTCTCTCTTGCTGACAGTCCATACATTCTGTCTTCTTACAATTGATGTTTAGTCCTTTCTTCTCTCTTTTCTTTATTTGGTCTCTCTCTCTCTCTCTCTCTCTCTCTCTCTTGCTGACAACCATACATTCTGTCTTCTTACAATTGATGCTGACATTTTAGTCCTTTTCTTCTCTCTTTTCTTTCTTTCTCTTCTCTCTCTCTCTCTCTCTCTCTGACAACCATACATTCTGTCTTCTTACAATTGATGTTTAGTCCTTTTTTATCTCTTTTTCCTTTGGTCTCTCTCTCTCTTCTCTCTCTCTGACAACCATACATTCTGTCTTCTTACAATTGATGTTTAGTCCTTTTCTTTTGTTTGTCTCTCTCTCTTTCTCTCTCTCTCTCTTACAATTGATGTTTAGTCCTTTCTTCTCTCTTTTCTTTATTTTCTCTCTTTCCTCTCTCTCTCTCTCTCTCTTGCTGACAACCATACATTCTGTCTTCTTACAATTGATGTTTAGTCCTTTTCTTCTCTCTTTTCTTTATTTGGTCTCTCTCTCTCTCTCTTGCTGACCACCATACATTCTGTCTTCTTACATGATTTTTAGTCCTTTTCTTCTCTCTTTTCTTTATTTGGCTCTCTCTCTCTCTCTTGCTGACAACCATACATTCTGTCTTCTTACAATTGATGTTTAGTCCTTTTTATCTCTTTTCTTTATTTTTACTCTCTCTCTCTTCTCTCTCTCTGACAACCATACATTCTGTCTTCTTACAATTGATTTTTAGTCCTTTCTTCTCTCTTTTCTTTGTTTTGGTCTCTCTCTCTCTCTCTTCTCTTGACAACCATACATTCTGTCTTCTTACAATTGATGTTTAGTCCTTTCTTCTCTCTTTTCTTTTTTGGTCTCTCTCTCTCTCTCTCTCTCTGCTGACAACCATACATTCTGTCTTCTTACAATTGATGTTTAGTCCCTTTTTTCTCTCTCTCTTCTTTTTTACTTGGCCTCTCTCTCTCTTGCTGACAGTCCATACATTTCTGTCTTCTTACAATTCATTTTAGTCCTTTTCTTCTCTCTTTTCTTTGGTCTCTCTCTCTCTCTCTCTCTCTTTGACAGTCCATACATTCTGTCTTCTTACAATTGATTTTTAGTCCTTTTCTTCTCTCTTTTTTCCTTTGGTCTCTCTCTCTCTCTCTCTCTCTCTCTTGCTGACAGTCCATACATTCTGTCTTCTTACAATTCATTTTAGTCCTTTCTTCTCTCTTTTCTTTATTTGGTCTCTCTCTCTCTCTCTCTCTTCTGACCACCATACATTCTGTCTTCTTACAATTAATTTTTAGTCCTTTTTCTTCTCTCTTTTCCTTTACTTGGTCTCTCTCTCTCTCTCTCTTGCTCTCCACCACATTCTGTCTTCTTACAATTCATTTTAGTCCTTTTTCTCTCTTTTTCTTTATTTGGTCTCTCTCTCTCTCTCTCTTACTGACAGTCATACATTCTGTCTCCTTACAATTGATTTTAGTCCTTTCTTCTCTCTTTCCTTTATTTGGTCTCTCTCTCTCTCTCTCTCTCTCACTGACAGTCCTTACATTCTGTCTTCTTACAATTCATTTTTAGTCCTTTCTTCTCTCTTTTTTTTATTTGGTCTCTCTCTCTCTCTCTCTCTCTTGCTGACCAGTCCTTACATTCTGTCTTCTTACAATTCATTTTTAGTCCTTTTTTTCTCTCTTTTCTTTATTTTTCCTTTTTCTCTTCTCTCTCTCTCTCTTGCTGACCAACCATACATTCTGTCTTCTTACAATTCATTTTTAGTCCTTTTTCTCTCTTTTCTTTTTTGGTCTCTCTCTCTTCTCTCTTGCTGACAGTCCATACATTCTGTCTTCTTACAATTCATTTTTAGTCCTTTTTCTCTCTTTTCCTTTATTTCTCTCTCTCTCTTCTTTATACATTCTGTCTTCTAATTTTTAGTCCTTTTTTCTCTTTTTCTTTATTTGGCTCTCTCTTCTCTTGCTGACAGTCATACATTCTGTCTTCTTACAATTCATTTTTAGTCCTTTTTTTATCTCTTTTCCTTTCTCTCTCTCTCTCTTTCTCTTGCTGACCACCATACATTCCGTCTTCTTACAATTCATTTTTAGTCCTTTTTATCTCACTTTTCTTTATTTGGTCTCTCTCTCTCTCTCTTGCTGACAGTCCATACATTCTGTCTTCTTACAATTCATTTTAGTCCTTTCTTCTCTCTTTTTCTTTGGTCTTCTCTCCTCTTTCTTTGACCTCTCATTCTGTCTTCTTCAATTCTCTCTTGTCTCTCTTCTTCTCTCTCTCTCTCTTTGACTGTCATTCATTCTGTCTTCTTTCAATTAATGATTAGTCCTTTCTTTCTCTCATTTTTTTTTTTTCTTTCTCTTCTCTCTCTCTCTCTCTCTCTCTCTCTTGCTGACAGTCCATACATTCTGTCTTCTTACAATTCATTTTAGTCCTTTTCTTCTCTCTTTTCTTTATTTGGTCTCTCTCTCTCTCTCTCTCTTGCTCTCCTACATTCTGTCTTCTTACAATTAATTTTAGTCCTTTTGTCTCTTTTCTTTACCTTTCTCTTTCTCTCTCTCTCTTGCTGACTCTCTACATTTTCTTCTTTTCATTTTAGTCCTTTCTTCTCTCTTTCTCTCTCTCTCTCTTCTCTCTCTCTGACTGACAG